AATAAAATAAAATATTAAAATCACGATGTATCTCGCTGCATTGCGCGAGTACGTTTCTAATATATTATAAAACATTTGACAAAAACTCTTAAAAATCACATTTTTTACATGAAGTATTGTTCAATGATGCATATTAATTAAAAATCAAGATTTCAAGTAAATTACGCATTAATACATCTTATTAAGCTCCATATTAACCACAAGGGTGGTGCCTAATTGGTTTGAGCTTCGTTCCAAAGATCAAAAGTACCAGGTGGTGCCTAATATAAGATTAGAATAAAATTGAATTCCAAACCCTATAAATACTGAAAACCTTCTTCACTGCTATGGCCTGTGAACTCCCTTAATTAATCATTTTTACCATCAACTAAGTCAACAATTTCACTGTTACTGCCCCTCACCGTCGTATTTCACCTTACTTTTATCTTTTAAGAAACCCATATAAATCAAATTAAGAACGTCTATTTGATCACTAAAGGTTACTATTTGATCGTTGTAACCATTCTTAATTAAATAAATAAATAAATAAATAAAATGGATGACAGATAGATGAGTTAAATCGGTTAATATAATCAACGGGTTGTATTTGAAGCCACACACTCTCTCACTATGTATATATATACACACTAGAACGGTACTCGTGCAATGCAGCGAGATAAATCTTCATTTTACTATTTAGTTTTTATTTTGTCTCTATTGATATAATACGATTTTATATGTTTTTCAGAAAACGATAATGTTTTTTTTAATGAAATATAAATTTGAAGATATCATAAAAATTTGAACAAAAAATTAGTCGATATTAGTATCAGATTAACTATCTAGTAGTTCTCATTTTTTTGGTGTAACTTATTTAATTCAGTTTTTTTTATTATAAGTTAATTTAGATTTAATAACAAAGTAATTTATTTTTGGTTTAATAATATAATTTTATACAAAGATAATAATTAAATATTTTGTTAGAACTCAATGATTATCTTAATTATATTTTAGATTTTTTATAATTAAAATGATAGTTTATTTTGTATTTGATTATTTTTATCAACACTTAGTTATACAAATTAAAAATAGAGGTTTAATCCGGTGTACTTGTATAATTCAATATTTTATTACAAGTCAATTTAGATTTAATAACAAAATAATTTTTTTGGTTTAATAATAATTTTTTTATAAAGATAATAATTCAACATTCTGATAGAATTCAAAGATGGTCTTAATTATATTTAAAATTTTATATATTTAAAATGAATGTTTATTCTGTATTTGATTATATTTATCTGTAGTTAGTTACACGAATTTAAAAATAAAGCTTTAATAAATTATATTTATACAAAATTATTTATAATCTTAAATTTTAAGTAATATAAATCAATAAACAATATTTTATACATTAAAAAATATTTTTTAAAAGTTTTTATAAAATACTTCGTAATATAGCATAGCCATAGACATAGATAAGAGGTGTTGGGCACGCGCCGCTAATTGAGAGTGAAGATATTTTGTGTATATCCAAATTGTGAAACGGGGGCACAATCAAACTTTCCATGCAAAAATCTTTTAAAATTAAAAAGAAAATATTTAAAATACGTATATTTATTGAATATTTAATTCATGAATAAGTAACCTTCCCCTAAAAACGATTCTTATTAAGGAAATTGGTTCTCTTCTCTCTGTATTTATCCCCCAAATTCAATTCCATCACCGAAACGTCACTTGGATCTCTGTCATTGTCATCGGAAAATTGCGATTCTGTAGTGGAAGTCAGCAATGGCGGCACCACTACCACCACCTACACCTACGACGGTCACACCGCCACCGGCGTCATTGTACGTAGGGGATTTGCATCCGCAGATCGACGATCTGCAACTCAGCAACGCCTTCTCAGAGTACAAGAGTCTCTCTTCGGTACGCGTTTGTCGTGATTCATCCACCGCCCGTTCTCTCTGTTATGGATATGTCAACTTTCTTTCTTCTCAAGATGGTATGTATACATCCGATCGATCAAAAACTCAATTATCTTTTGTGATCTTTATATTTTTTTCAAATATATGAATATCGCGATCTGTTTCCATGACGATCTCTATTGATTTTGTGAAATTATAATTTGTTGTTTTACGAGTGAATTTTCTGAATGTTTGATGCTTGTATGTTTTCGGTTTGGATCAGTTTTGAATGCGTTTTCTAACTTCTAGAATGCTAACAGACGTTTTCTAGTTTATGAAGAGAATTGCAAGCTATATCTTTTGTACCTTTCATCGACAGGAAGTCATCGATTGAATTGGATTATGACCTCTAGAAGCAAGCGTAATGTAACATGCATAACTCTAGGAAATCATAAAATTCGAAAATTGTCCATGTCCTATATGGTAATCAATCATTGTTTTCAATAATGGGTGCATGAAGTTTATTTGGTTGGGGTGTTGAGTATTTCAGTTTTTAGAAATTGAATAATCTTTCTATAAATATCTTCACTTCATGCATTATTCCCCCTCCCCTTTTCTTGTAAAGTAGTTCATTTAGTACTATGTGCTGATTTTGATATATGTATTGCTTCAATTTTGCATTCACTAAACTTGAGCAGCCATCCATGCTATCGAGTCTAAGAATAACACCATGTTGTATGGGAAGATGATAAGGGTAACATGGTCTCATCGCGACCCTGATGTGAGAAGAAGTGGAATTGGAAACGTGTTTGTCAAGGTAATATTGAACAGTGTTATTATCAATTTATCATATTAGCATTCAATGTTGGTACCTATTTATCTCATGATTGGTTCTTGGTTGCAGAATTTGAACGAGTTGATTGACAATGTCCAACTTCAAGAACTGTTTAAAAGTTTTGGTAATATATTGTCTTGTAAAGTGGTTACACTTGAGGACGGTAAGAGCAAAGGGTATGGTTTCGTTCAGTTTGATTCTGAGGAATGTGCAAATGCTGCAATTGAGAAACTCAATGGCACTAATGTTGGAGGCAAGCAGATGTACGTCTGATCAACACCAAAGTGTTTTGCATTATGTTTGGATTTTGGAAATGTTTGCTCCACCAGATGTATGTGGCCTTGTTAACTTTTACTCTTTCATCTTAATTTGTCACAGATACGTAGGGAAATTCATGAAGAAGAGCGATCGAGTATTACCGAGTCCTGATGCTAAGTACACGAATCTGTACATCAAGAATCTTGACTTGGATATGACAGAAGACATTCTTGAGAAAAGTTTCGCTAAATTTGGAAAAATTGTTAGCTTGGTTATAGCAAGAGATGACAGTGGTGTTTCAAGGGGGTTCGGTTTTGTGAACTTTGAAAACCCGGAGGATGCTAGGAAGGCAGCAGAAGATATGAACGGGCTGAACCTCGGTATATATGTTATGTTATTTTGTAAGGGTAATCTGTTTAATAGGCAAATTTCCACCACTCTGACCGAGCTTTTCTTTTGAGTATGTCTTTATGCGCAGGTTCAATGGCTTTATACGTTGCCAGGGCTCAGAAAAAAGCTGAGAGAGAACAAATCTTGCGACGTCAATTTGAGGACATAAGGAAAGAACAAATATTAAAATATCAGGTATTTCTTACAGCTATTTACTGTTAGCAATTTCCTCCCTTCTTCTCATTGTATTTCTGATTACTTTCTTATTTCAGGGTTCAAATGTGTATGTGAAGAATATTGATGATGATGTCACTGAGGATGAGCTGCAAGAACACTTCAGTCAGTGTGGCACAATCACATCTGCTAAATTGATGTGTGATGACAAAGGAGTGAGCAAGGGTTTTGGTTTTGTCTGCTTCTCTGCACCAGATGAGGCAATCAAGGCTGTGAATACCTTCCATGGTGAATTAGCCTAAATACTCATCATCATGTCCTTGATGTTTTGAGAGTTCTTTTTGCTTTTTAATTATCATTACTTTCATTTACTTACGATTTCTACATTTCTGATGTTTTACAGGATATATGTTCCATCGAAAGCCTTTGTATGTATCCATTGCTCAAAGAAAAGAAGAGAGAAAAGCACAATTACAGATTCAGTATGCACAGCGTATGGTTGGACTTGTAGGTCCATCTACTGTCATCCCTGGTGATTATCCTCCTCTTTACTATACAACCCCTTCTGGTATCATTTCGCAAGTGCCAGCACGACCAGGGGTGATGTATCAACCTATGGGCATCAGGCCAGGATGGAGGGCTAATGGTTTTGCACCTCCAACAAGGCCAGTTTTTCAGCCATCACCTATCCCTTTTGTAAGTTCTCTCTTCTATAACAATAATGAACATTAATTAGTAGAATGAACTGCTAATTATGTTGTTTTAGCTACTTCTATAAGAAATACAATAGTTTGGTAGGCTGGGAGCAGAACGATTCTATTGATCTTTCAAGTGTACGTTTTGGAGGTATTTAAGAGCGTGCGATTGTATTTTTTCAGATTCCTAATGGTCCAAGACCACACAGAAAAAATAGAGGGAGGATGAATGGACAGATGCAGCAGCCACCATACATGCCACACTTGCAACAGCCATCTCAGACATCCAAAGACTCATTTAGCAACCCCCAGGTCTGCTTCACTTGCTACTGTATCCAAATTCATATATCTTGCCATCAGCTTTGATTTAAGTTCATTTTTTGACATTGACTAGAATAAAAAAAAAAATTCTAACCAGAATTTTCTGTTAAAAACACAAATGATGTCAATTTGTTTTTTCTATTTTCATATTAAATTTGATTTTCTTCCAGATTGGAGTCTGAAAACTAACCTTTTCCTTCTCTTCCTTGATGATTGCATGGTTCACTAGCCATGTATGATTGCTTATTTTGCTATATATAATCTAGACACACCTTTCCATTTTATGAAGTTTTACTTCATCATTTATGTTGAAGCATCTTAAAGAGAATATTTCCATTTTGTTAGCATGAGGGCATGAGATTCTTTATTGAAATTAAGCAACTGTGTGAGTTTCAATAGACTGGACAAATACTTGCTTTACATGAAGAGCATCCATAATGAGTCTTTTGAAGACTACTTCAGGAAGAGCTTTTTTGCCACATCATAGATTATAAAAAAGCATCCGACAGAGAATACACTTTTTTGCTTTGGGTCCCATTTTTTTCTTGTTTTGCTTAGCCACCTGAGCTTATAGGTCCCAGTTTTTGGGAAAAGCTTTAATGAAAAACCTTACCATTGTGAATGCTCGTATAAGATGATGTTGGGCCATTATGACTATTATGAGTTCTTTCTTGATCATCGATTTCTGTTGCTATCCGACTCTAGGATGAGAAAAAGAACAAGCATTGGTTGTGTCTTACATTCGGATCCTAATATCTCTTAAATTGCTTTATTAAAGGGCTTTTATCAATTATTACCTGTATCTTAAACCAACTTCTGTACTTTATCAAGACTGTTCCACATTGCCACACAATTGGCTTTCTTGCTCTTTTAAAGATTCACTTCCAAATCACTGTGATCACATTTGGTTAATTCGGCTTTGGATACTGTATTTTTGCATGCCATACAGACGTTCACCAAATTCATCTCAAAATATGATCCTTTTCTATTAAGGTTCTTCTGAATCGATCTTTAATGCCATTAAATTTTGCTCTATGTGCTGATTCTTGGAGTCGACAAAATTCACAGTGGGCAGGACAAGCGAAACATGCACCAAATGGCCGTGGCCGTGATATTAACAAAGGAATTGGATCATCTTCTGGTGCTTCAAATTCTGGTGGATCAGTGGGCGAGGGATCTGAGATGTTGAGTAGTATGCTTGCTGCTGCTTCTCAGGAGATCCAAAAGCAGATTCTAGGCGAATGCCTCTACCCTCTTGTCAACCAACACAAGGTATTGTCGGTTTTTTAGCACACCAAATATGTCAAGTTTATTAATATACAAGACTTAAAATTTACAGAACTATACAATTGTGTCCTATCTCCTATGTCAGCAAGGGCGGACCCACTATGGTGTACACGGTGGCACAAGTTACCCCTTCGTTCGTCCTTGGCAATGTAAAAAAAAAATAGAGTTGTCATCTTATTATTTTGTTGGATGACACTGTATATTCCTTAAAACTACAATAATAACACAAGGTCCTCGAGTTGGTTTGGATGGTTTTTCCTCCCATTCCTAGCACGGGTTCAAACTAATCCCATTTGTATCTAATTTTTAGTTTTTAACTTTTAATTTCAGCTTTTTCAATCAGGACCTCACATTGAACTAACCATCAGACCAATAATGATTAAAACATTGTTTTTTTTAAGGTCAAATGGTGTAATTTTGTTTGAATTTCAGCCTGATTTAGCTGCAAAGATAACGGGAATGCTATTGGAGATGGACAACTCAGAACTGCTATTGCTATTGGAGTCGCCGGAATCTTTGGCGGCCAAGGTGGAGGAAGCTGTGCAGGTACTGAAGCTCTCAAAGACCAAAGTATCCACCACCCAAGACTCTCTTCATCCCAATATCTTATCTGCTGGTGTGGCCGTCAACTAATTCATTTCCCAACTCTTTAAACTTATTTATGAGCTTCCTCGTAAACTAAACCCTTTTTTACTTTATATATATTATGCTTTTAATAGATCTTGTTGCTAAAAGCTGTCCTTTTTTGTCTGATAGAGTGAAACATCTCCGGTTCATTAAGATTTTAAGTATATATTTTTTTAGACCCTCCACTATTACTGATCCGGTCTATTTATGTTCCGCGGCTAAAAGGATGTGCAAACCCCATCTCATATATTAAAAGACTGGTTCTTAAAAAAAGGCACACCTGGGAAGAAGACGACATGCCAAACCGCTCCATGCCTTTACTTAGCTTTTGGAGCACTTTAATTAATTTTGTTATTAATAAATTAATTTAACTAATTAAATAAATTTATATTTATACTATATTATAAAACATTTGATAAAAACTCTTAAAAACCACTTTTTATGAGTAGAGTACTGTTTATTAATGCATATTACTTAAAACTCAAGATTGCAAGTAGATTGTGCATAAGTACAACTTATTAAAGCTCATTTGAATTCGTGTAACTAGCTGCAGATAAACATAATCAAATACAAGATAAACATTTCATTTTAAATATAAAAAATATAAAATACAATTAAAATAATTATCGAGTTTTAACAAAATAATTAACTATTATCTTTATAAGAGAATTATCTATATACTGTATTATAAAGATATGACAAAAACTCTTAAAAACGATTTTTTATGTACGAAGTATTGTTTATTGATGCATATTACTTAAAATTTAAGATTACAAGTAAATTGTGCATAAGTACAACTTATTAAACCTCCATACTCGAATTCGTCTAACTAAATGCAGATAAACATAATCAAATATTGGATAAACATCTCATTTTAAATATAAAAAATCTAAAGTATAATTACGATAATCATTGATAACTAACAAAATACTTAGTTATTATMTTTATAAAAAATTATATTATTAAACCTAAATTAAATTTCTTTGTTACTAAGCCTAAATTAAATTATAATTAAAAAAATTTAATTAAGAAAATTACACCAAAACATAATAACTTTTAAAAAGATTAATTTAATACTGCTATCGATATTTTTTTTTCAAAATTTTATGCACGAATTACTGTTTATTGATGCATATTACTTAAAATTCAAGATTACAAGTAAATTTGCAACTTATTAAAGCTCGATGTTTGAATCTGTATAACTAATTGTGAATGAATATAATCAAATAGAGATTAAACATCTTATTTTAAAATATAAAAAATCTGAAATATAATTAGAATAATTATCGAGTTCYAACAAAATAAATAATTATTATTTTTATAAGAAAATTATATTATTAAACCAAATATAAATTACTTCGTTATTGTACCTAAATTAAATTATATAAAAAAATTGAATTAAAAAATTACATAAAAAATTGAAAAATTTTAAATAGTTAATTTTATATTAATATCAATATATTTTTGTTAATTTTTTATGATATCTTCAAACTTATATTTTATTCAAAAATAAAAACATTATCGCTTTTCTCAAAATCACATAAAACCATATTATAACATCGACTGAGATAAAGAATAAAATAAAATATTAAAATCAAGATGTATTTCGCTGCATTGCGCGGGTATCTTTCTAGTATTATCAAAAGGTTTATGAAGATGTATATAAATCAATTCAACTATATAAACTTGTTAAATTCTTACTTTAATACATCATCAATTTTAAGCAAATTCAGTTAAGCATATTTAACAAAATTTATTATCGTTGCTTCTCAAATATTGTTATTTTAAAAAATTATCGCTTTTATTTATTGTCGTTTTTAACAATCTTTTATTTTCGTAATTTTTTATTATTACGACTTTTATTATCTATACTATATTATAAAACATTTGACTAAAACTCTTAAAAACTCTTAAAACTCTTAAAAACTCTTAAACCCGTTCATGCCTAAACGATTTCATCCCTATCCGATTTCATTCCATATCTGAATTCGTGTAACTAACTGCAGATAAACACAATAAAATACAGGATATACATCTCATTTTAAATATAAAAAATCTAAAATATAATTAGTATAATCATTAAATTATAACAGAATACTTAATTATTATCTTTATAAAATTTAGAATATTAAATTTAAAATAAATTGTTTTATTATTAAACTTAAATGAAATTATATATAAAAAATATATTTTATATTATTAATCAGTTGACAAAAACTCTTAAAAATTATTTTTTATGCGTAAAGTACTGTTTATTAATGCATATTACTTAAAACTCAAAATTACAAGTAAATTGTGCGTAGGTACAACTTATTAAAGCTCCATATCTGAATTCGTGTAACTAACTGCAGATAAACACAATCAA